TCTCGCAGTATTTTTTCCTCCTTTTTTTTTTTTTTTTTTCTCTGTCTGTCGCTATTTCTTAGAAGTGAAAAAGAGCCCTTTTTAAATGTGTGTGGTGGTTAAAAAAAAACAAAAAACAGAGAGCCCCTGTTCGTTAAGATCGCTAATTTATTTGAGGGCCTAAGTCGTTCCTGGTCTTTCTTTTTCTCGCCCGGTTTTCCTTCCTCCCCTCCAATGCTGTCTGAATCAAGCAGACGACGCATGAACTGAGTGAGAAGAGAAAATGGTGGAGCACATTCCTCTCAAACTCAAAAAAATCGTCCGATGAAGGAGTGATTTCGTGATGATGTAATTATGGTGTTTTTGTCGTGATGGTCCATGATGATAGTATTCTGTATCTTTTGTAATGTGATGTTAATTTTGTAGTTGTAAGTTGATGTTCATATGATGTATCGTGTGTTTCCATTGTCCCGATTTTGTGAGCGAGCTGGAGCCAGCAGTTTGGGAAAGCCACTCTGGATTTTCCGGTCACCCCCACCCCCCCACCCCCCACCCCTGGGGGGGACCACTGGGTACCCACTTGCGTGTGTCGGTCTTTTGTCGCAACACACCTCCGTGGGAGGCCATGGATGGGGTGCATGCGGTCTTTTTTTTGCGGACCAGTCGGTTGGACGATTCCCTTCCTCTCTCTCTCTCTTCTCTCTCTCTCTCCCTTCTTTTTTCTTCCCTCCCTTCGCTCCTCTCTCATCTTTCGCAGGGCTCCCGGCCTCCCAGCTCCTTTCAGGAAGCTCCAGAATAGGTATGTGCATAGGCAGAGGGATAGTGCTTAGTAATTAATAATTCATCAGATGAAATGTTCATAACTACTCTCATTTCATAAACAGAAGGCACGACGAACAATGGACATGAACCGCCTCCATACATAGGCAACTCTCTACTGTGGTTTCGGTTCCCATACTAACGGAGACATCATGTGTATACATAGATACGTACACCTCCTCGATAATAACACTTTTTGGGGACCAACTTTTTTTTTTTTTAAACTAAAACCTACTCCGATAAGGTGTATACGAGGCATATGAAGTAATGACTTAATGTGATACCGAATTATGTGGGAGTTGGACCCTCGTCTGGGATACTAGGTTCTGAAATCCCCCGTGGCGACTACCATGATAACCGAGGAAACGTTTTTCCCCGGATGGTCAGAAGGGCTGAGGTGGAACGGTGTGGTTCGGGGCCGCGCCCCTTCCCTCCGCCAGTTCTTCGGGGGGCACTTTTTCAAACCAGATGTCTTTGTGTAAGCAACCAACATTTACCACAACTGATATGGACACGGGTGAACCCTCTTCTAAATATCCCGACAAGCAACCATTGGACAGAAGAAAGTGTCCATTTAGAGTGAGGTGTCCTTATTTCAGGGGTTGTTCCATAAGAACTGGAGTATTGAAATGGAGAGGTGTCCTTATATCACATGGGTGTCTGTAGAGAAGGGTTCCCCGGTCCATATATTTAAAGAATTCCCCCGCATAAAATTTTAGGTTTTTTCATTTTTGCTACCCAACTTATTACTGAAGATTTTAGTTTCAAAATTTTTACAAAAAAATAAGGACTTTTGTGTGCAGCTTTCTTTTTCCGTGTTGCAGCTACTTTGCGGGGCGGTCATGGAACTGGGCGAGAGTTTCTGTTTGGTTCTGTCGACCGACACTTCCAGCTGCCAGTTGCCAGGCAAACCACAACTTGCTGATGGGGTGTGGCTTGTGGAGATTGGTTGTGGGTGGAGCTTTTTGTTTTGCGATCCACCGGCATGGCTCTCAACTTAAACCTTTCTGGCAGGTATGGTTGAGCTCTTTCTTCTTCATTTCTGTAAAGTTAAAAAGTTAGCAGTCAATTATGAGGGAAACCTTGAAATTTTATGCTCTGAACTCAATGTTTTATCTGTGAGTGGTCCAAACAGTAGTTTGTCCTGCCTGTGCACCTCCATTTGCGAATTATGGCACCATGAATTTAGCACTATGTTAAATAGTGTTTGAATTTTTTTTTTTTTCGAATCCACGAACCTTGGTCTGTGTTCTCATCCCTCGTTAAGTTGCCATCCCTCCTGTGGGACGTGACAGACGGAGACATGCTCGACAGACACTGTCAAGAGCCTCCTGGAGCAGTGGCTGGAGGAAGGAGAGAGGGGGGAAGAGGATGAGGAGGGAGGAGGGATAGAGGTTGGCCTCTGTCCCTGGCTCTAGCACCGAGCAAGGTCTGTCTGCAAGTTGGAGGGGTTTTTAGAACGTTATGTTATGCCGCCATCTCTATGGAACCCCAGCATTTGCTGTGACCCTAATAGAAACAAACAAATATTTTCAGTTATTAATTTTTATCATTATTTATTGTGCATTGTTGTCATAAACTTCACTGAATTCGCAGGCGGCGCGCAGCTAGGTAACGCGCGCGCAGCCAGCGGCCTTCACGCGCATGCGCAGCAAGGCAGCTCTCTCTGGCGGTTCTCCACGCGCCATGCGCGTATATATAAGTAACGCAGTGATCAGCAGTCATCGATCGAATGTCGTCAAGAGAAGAAAGACTCGAAGAAGGGAGCGGGCGGGGGCGGCGGGGAAAACCGGGGCCACTGGGTGGCCGTCGCCAGGCTCCGGATCCGGAGTGGCAGCTGGATCCCTGCCGGAGCCCGCCCCAAGTCGCGGCTGTGGGGAACTGTTCGGGCGCCACTCGAGCGAGAGTTCGAGCAGCTTTCATGCGGACAACGGCGCCCGTAAGTTGGGCGCTGTGTGTGCACGAGCTATCTCACGTTTTTGCTGTCTTCTTTTAGCGTTGTATTGTAGCTTGTAGGGAGAACGCTACCTATATAGAGGAACGTTGAGAATTACACCATCCTTATGCGCGCCGTGCACTCTTCATGATGCATAATTATCAGTGTGTCTTCGTCATTATGTCGCCAGAAAACAATAATTGCAGTGTACTGTATACTGTCGTTTATGGCTATTCCCCTTTGTGGGAGTCAGTGTTGTTTGCCATCGTCTCCACATCACGTCAGCTATATTGGCACAGAAATAACATTTTTCTTAGCAGGTTTTTTCAATATCCCTGTGTTATGGTTTCCAAGTCAGCTTCAATTGTTTGTGTCTCCTTCTCTGGAAGGGCCCCTCAGTTTGTTTACACTTCACCACACGGTAAACCACTCACTTCAGAACCAAAACCCAGCCTCCCGTCTTGCAGGCCACACTATAGAATGATACATGATACTATCATATCACTTGAGCAATTTCTGGAGTTACCAAACTGGTTTGCTGTTCTATTGGGTGCAAAATTTGATAAACATATTTCCTGGCCTTTGATGTATTATACCTGGGGTGGGCGATGTTTGTGACTTTCCCTCAGCTCCCTCACTCTCTCTCCCCTCTCTCCCCTCCCACCTCCCTCCCTCCGTCTCTCTCCTCCTCCCCTCGTCACAGTTAGAGAAAGTTAGACAAGCTCGAGCTGCTAACAGAGAGAGATCGCGGATCTGCCGACATACACTGCCGATCGACAAACCACCTCCTATGGGTCGGCCACAGAGACGCCCCAGGACGACCGTCCCTCAGAAGATAATGAAAGATAAGAAAAACAGTTACGTTTTTGCGGGAGTGACAGGCGATAATTTGTAATCGTTTGTGGGACCCTAATTACGCTTCTTCTTTCTCTCAAAGAATGTACCCTTCTTTATTTTGGAGCATATCTATGGGCAATTGTATATACATTGCATCATTACTGGTCATTGATATGCACATGTTTTTTGTTTTTTTTTTTTGTGTTTTTTTTTGTTTTTTGGTTTTTTTTTTTTGTTTGTGTTTTTGTTTTTTGTTTTTTTTTTTTTTTTTGTTTTTTTTTTTTTGTTTGTTTTTTTTTGTTTTTTTGGTTTTTTTGTTTTTTTTGTTGTTTGTGGTTTTTTGTTTTTTGTTTTTTGTTTTTTTTTGTTTTGTTTTTTTTTTGTTGTTTATTTCATTCGCCATGTTCCAATTCATCTGTTTTGGCCATTTGTTGCAAAACTTAAACATCAATTGTCCAAAGGAAACTAAGCATTCCAGCCTGTTTTGAGAAACATACTGCATTGGCATCAGCTGTAATTTTAATCACCCTTCTGTGGACTGTACTTTAACCCTTGCCCGCACTGTATAGCAAGAGGCCAGACAATAACACAGAGTTTAAGCGTTATACGCGCATCAAAAAGGGTGTGTCTGACGTAGGAAGAGATGCTCTTTTGTTTATGTTTTTTTTTTTTTTTTCTCTCTTTTCCCTTCCTCGTTCTTTCATTACATTATTCACGATATCAAATGGTTCAAGAGTTCGATCTACTTGTCAGTTTATATACGGCAGGTTGTGCGTGTTTTCGGTCAGGGGACGGAATCGGTACTTGGCACCAGCACTTCGCAGTTGGACCGGCCCTCGTGGGAGATGCCTCAGCTGGTTGAGCCCTGTTCCTCCTCCTCTCTCTTCTCTCTCTCTCTCTCTCATGTCTCTTTATCTCTCTCTCTCTCTCTCTTCTCTCTCTCTCTCTCGCCTCTCTCTCTCTCTGGGTTGTTTGTTTGGTTTTTTTTTTTTTGGTTTTTTTGTTGTTGTTTTTTGTGGTGTTTTGTTGTTTTGTTGTGTTTGTTTTTGGTGTTTGGTTTTTTTCTCTCTCTTCTCTCTCTCTCCTTATCTCTTTATTTCGTGTTGGTTGGTTTGGTGGTTTGGTTGGTTGGGGGGTTTTGGTGTTGTTTGTTGGTTTTTTTGGGTTTTTTTGTGTGGGTGTCTCTCTTCTTTCGTTAATTACTCACTCTCTCTCGTATGTGACTACTGACTTGGTGTGTTACTGTCACCTTCAATGTTGTGGCACTCATGTGGGAGGACGTGAAAGAATCGGAGGCACGACTATCCTGAAATACCTCGGACACACCGGCTCCGTGAACTGGACTCTCTCGCTCGTATTCACCCCAAGAGACACACCTCTGACTGTTCGGTCGCCGGGGATTCCAGTGCCCATATTTGGAAGTATTCCTCAGGGGACGCACGCACGGCAGAGAAGCAGTAGTGGAAACCCAATGGACAGGTGAGTGTGGGGAGGAGGAAGAGCACGTTTAAGCTAGCAGATATACTTGACCAAATATATAAGTTAACAATTATGGGTGACAAGCAGCACAAGTAGTGTGAAAAAATTTGCACACTTGTTATACTGCGAGAAAAGGGGGAAGAGAGAGAGAAGAGGAATTAATTATCTTTGTCAGATCGACAACGAGCACGACTCGTCTGGTGAAGAGAGGAATCTGTCGGATGAGGACCCGACGGTCGACACGCCGTTCCCGTTGCCACGGTGAAGCAGCGTGCGAGTGCTGACTGAGCACAGAGCTCCGGTGATGGGCGTGCGACTGGTTGGCTGACGGGCACCAGCTGTCACCGCGTCCCTGGATCACACAGCCAAACTGTGGGACATAGAATCTGGACAGATCATCCACTCTCTTGAAGATAAGGTAGTACTTTTCCACTCTCTTGAAGGTAGTACTTTTCCACTCTCTTGAAGGTAGTACTTTTCCACTCTCTTGAAGGTAGTACTTTTCCACTCTCTTGAAGGTAGTACTTATTCATACATGTAGAGTGTCCCTTTAAAGAAACCAACCACCTGTGGTGTATGAAAGATAGCACCCTGAAATGGTTGGTTTACATTACCTGGGATGAATTACTTAGGAGGCCGAATATGCTTGCTCAGTGTGTGTTTGAAGTTAATATTCTTCGACTTATTGAAACCTTCGAAAGACTCTCACAATATGGACACACTTGGTTCTTCTCGCCCCATACTAATACTCAGTGGACAACCTCTCTATAAAGGACAGTTTGGTCTGCCCATACTATACATAAGGGACACCTCTCTATAAGGACACTTGGTTTCTGCCCCATACTAATACATGAGGTACAGCCTCTCTATAAAGGACACTTGTTCTCTTCTCTTCTCTGCCCCATACTAATACATATAGGGACCAAAACCTCTCTATAAAGGACACTTGGTTCTTCGTGGTTCTGGTTCTGCCCCATACTAATTACATAGGGACAACAACCTCTCTAAAGGACACTTGGTCTCGGCCCATACTAATACATAGGGACACACAACCTCTGAATAAAGGACACCTCTATAAGGGGACACTTGTTCTGCTGCGGCCCCACTAACTATACATTAGTGACACAAACCCTCTGTCTGCTCATTCGGTCTTCCATCAGCTGAATACGAAGACACCTCTATAGAAGGTAGACACTGCGCCCCAGACGAAGCCGTAACAGCAGTTGCCATACTCATGCCCCTGAAGATAAGGACACCTCTAGAAAGGACCGACTTGGTGCGGACTCGACTAGAGCTCAAAAGCATCCAGTGTAGGGTACAGACAGCACGTACCGCGGAAGACAGACTCTTCGCACTCGCCTGCGTTCTGCGCGCACTAACAGTGGGACACTCGTCGGCCCCGAGACGACGCATGGACACCCCGCCTCGGGGAACGAAGCCCGACTCTCGATCTCCCTCATCACCTAGCACGTCTATGAAGAGGACACGCGCTCGGGTGTCCGCATACTCAGACGAATCACGCAGACACTGACCGCGGACGAAACGGAGCTGCCATGCGAAAGGTGCCCGGAGGGATGAGAACGGAGGGGAGGTGTGGGGCATCTTCATCCGCCAGCAGTTCTCACATGGACGACCAGGAGCTGACGCATGTCTCGCCGCCCACCCCACCCAGCAGCTGCTCGTCACTCTAGCTTTACTTCTGCTACCCTCCGTGGATACGACCTTTAGACTCCGCGACTTCAGGGCCCGCGCCCATATCGTCACGTCGGTGAACGTTTTCCTTCCAGGTCACTCGATGAGCGGTCCACTCGTGTGCATGCAGGTCCCTCGTGACAACATGGTCAGCGCACAATCTGCGATGACGCACTCATTAAAGGTTCATGTCCTACTATATATTTGATTTGGGGAGTGGTTATCTTTTGGTTCTCCGAATTCTCAAGTACAGATTCCATCTAATATACAATATCGATCTTTCTGATAGCATCGTGCAGTAAAGTACAAGATAGCTAGGCGACTACTCTCTTGAGCATCTGTGATATGTTCAGATCGCACGCAACCCTATAATGTCAGATCTCGCTTAGTTTGTATATCGCAGCTCTTGTATATCGCTCAACAATCGGCCTTCGCTCAGTCGTGTCGCAGCTTGTACGAAATCACAAATATCACAAATCACACCCACCCTCTCTTCTCTCCTCCTGGCTCAGATCTTCTGGGATTGAGAACATGAGTCGCCACTCTTCGACTCTGTTCGTCTCGACTCTGTGCCGGTATCAACAGATCTCTCCAGTCTCCCACGGCAACCCGTCCGATCCTGGCCGTTCCCCTAGACAACAAAAACCGACACCTGAAGCTCTACGACCTCAGTGGCTCCAGCAACTGGCACAACCATTCCTCGCGCGACAGAGACAGGTGAAAATAACATTTGGCCATAAATGTTTGACTGGTTTTTTTTCATTTGTCAAGGGCTCACAACCACAAACGGCGCATGGTAGGCAGTTGACATGGTCACATGACGAGTCATGTGATGCACTGAGTCGATGTACTCTCTATCATCTCTTTTCGGCCGGTTCCGAGACAGCAACAAAAGGTCGTCGGATGGAAGGTCAGTTTGAACATCAATAATGATTTAACTTTGTGCACAACACCTACTTCACTTTCAGTTACCATTTTTCAAACAAACCCACCCTGTTCCTTCATCTTGGGGACTTGGGGAACTTTTCAAAAAGCACGACTCCAACGACGCCGTAATTCCAACTCCCTTTCTTCATTTACTGACAAAACGCCCTCTCTGGGCAATGGCCATGGTGGGCGGGGGAGAAAAAGCAGCAAGGGGGGGGGGAGGCTGGCGACCACAGCAGGCATGGGCAGAGAACACACAAGGGCGACCTTATGTCGGTGAGAATAAAGTGCGTGTCCACATCGAGGGGGTACACAGTGTGGTGTGAGTAGTCACACTAGCGCGGGGAAACGAAAAGAAGCACACGGGGAACAAAAAAACTAGAGGTGGGATGGGGGGGGGGGGAAAAGATAAGATTGGGATAAACGGGAAAGGGACGCCGAGGACTGGTGGGAAGCTTGGAACCCACAAACGAAGTAGTAAGTAGGAGCCGGTTAGAAAGGCCGCGATTGAAGTTGCGGTGCGGTTGCGGTTAAGAAAGACAGGGTCGAAGGAAGGGGGGATCGGGTACACACTGGTGGAGGGCGTGTGGGCAAACGGGGTGCCCCAGAGGCCCCCGAACAACGGCTCTGGCAGGAGGATATGTAGCCACCGTCGTGGAGCCCAGTGGGGGGCGGGAAGCGGGGGGAACAGCGGCCGGCACACTGCAGTGTGGGTATAGGGGAGGGGGGCATCAGGGGCATATCTCCTTAAAGAGCGCCGCCGAGCGGGGCGAGGGAGAGAAAAGCCCAGCCGTGGGGGGGGGGCGGCCGGGGAAATCCCACTGCCAATGAGACGGACGGTCGGCGCGGGGGGAAGGTGTCCCCATAGGACGGCCAGGGCCCGGGCCCGGCGCGGACTGCATTCTCATTCCAGTCAGGCCCCGGAAAAAAAAATGCCCGCCCGAGGTCATCGCTGGGGGGGGGTTGCGAACGGCTTCTCCCGCATCGACTCGGGGAGCGGAAGGGGAGGGGCCTTTTGGTGAACGTGTCGACGGAGACATCGGGTGGGTAGAAACCCTCCAAGGCTTCGCGCTAAGAAAAAGGTTTCGCGCCGGTGGGAGGAAGGCAGAGTTACGGGAACTTTCTGCGAGAGTATAACACCCCCGAAAGCGTCCTGATGTCCTGACAAGGCGTGTCTGTGGAAGCAAGCAACGTCCCGCGGCATGCGTAAGGCATTGTTGGGGAGAGGGTTAAGTTTTTCCCCCTTTCCTCCCCATGTCCTCGCCCCCTCCCCCTGCCCCTGGCCCCCCAGCCGCCCCCTGCCCCCCCACCCCCCGCCCGGCCGGGGGTTGTTTTATCGCTTTGGCACGCTAGGACTGAACTCTGGGGTTCCCGGTTACTTAAACTAAACTTAACTTACTTGGGGGGTCGATACTCCACTGCTGTTTTGATGAGAACAACGTGGAATAGGGAAATTTGTCATGGGGTTGCCTTTAGGGATACGGGCTTGGCTTCCGCCCACCACTGAGCTGGGGTCGGCGCGGGGGATTTCGGGTGGTGGACCCCTTTGGGACCCGAGGCTGGAAAAAACATAAAAAAACAAACCAACCGCTTGACGAGGGGTTGGTAGATTTTCCTTCTTCCTTCCTGCCTTTTTCCTGTTCCTCCGGGGGGCACCCTGGAACGGTGGCTAAGTCCAAAAGAGGTGTTTCGTTTTTCCCCCCCCCCCCTCTCTTCTCTTCCCCCCCCCCCTTGTCCCTCTTCCCCCTCCCCTCGAAGATGTGGTGGGGGGGTGGGGGCCCCCTTTTTGCTCTGCAGGCTGTAAGGGCTGGTATAATGGCACGCAATGATGGTGGTTGGTGCTGACGCGATTTCCTCCCGCCGGCAAACGGAGTAGCCCGAATGGTAAGATGGGTAAGGAAGCCGTTGAGGAAAGAAGTTTGGTATGTGGCTTGCCTGTCGCTTACAGGGGAATAGAGCAGGGGGTTTGGTGGTAGGAAGAGAGGGGGCTGCTGAAGCGTGTGCTGGTTGTGGGGGAGGGATATGATGGTGGCGCGGGCCCCTGGGCTCGGTGATGGGAAACGTCTTTGGCTGGCAGTGGCCTTGCGGTTCCCGGGGTTTTCGCCAGCCATCAGCATTTTTTGGCCAAGCCTCCTCCTCTTTGCTGGCTTGGCCTTCCGTTTGGGTGGGCCTTGTGGTGTTGGACATGTGAGAGGTACCCTGTCCCTCGAATTGTTTTCCGTCAGGGTGTCCCCCGGGTACCCACTTGCCCCTCCGTGCGGGAGACGGTTCACCGCCATGGGACTCGTCGATCGTTCGGATCGCTAATGCTTTCTGGTGTCGAGAATGTTGGTGAGTTCGTCTTCCTTTGTTTCCACCCTCCCCGCCCCTCCTCCCTGTCCGTGTTCCCCCGGTCGTGAGGTGCGGTGGAGATCCGGAGCACCCCACCCTAAACGGTGAATGCCTGTCCTCCCTGGCGGTCCTCTCCTGCGACCCTCCCAGACATTACCCTGGATCACCATCCCTCTTCCGCCTCTGTCGATTTTTTCCTCCGACCTTTTATTTAAACAATAATATAACAAAAAATTAAAAATTTTACAAAAAGTACAAACAAAAAAAAAAAAAATTAATATAAAAAAACTAAACCCCTTCTTTGTGTGACTTGGCTGGTCTTGGCGGCATCGCTTGTTCTTTTCTTTCCCTGCTTCTTTCTTTGGCTTGGTCGTGTCGCCCCACCGCTCCGCCGTCGACGCAGAACGAATTTGCGAAGCAGTGTCGAAAAAGGTTGGTCGTCTTTTCTGTGTAACCTGGAGGCTGAATCGCCATCTTGATCAACGACTCGCCTGTTACGAAACATTAGATGGTGTTATGAACATTACTTGAAGAGCAACTATGCATGTCTTCTTCTCCCTACCCGCTCTCTCATCTAGTGCACGTATGATAGTATTTCACCAAATGTCCCCATGTGTCCCTTAGTTGGAGGTTCCCACGTGTAGATACCTTTTATTGACTGACAGTTCTCATGTGTGCTTTCTTCTGTCTTGAGCTGGTCCGTGTACCGCCACCGCTTCGTGCAGGCCAGGATTAAGACAGCATAGAGGTTCTCTGAAGTGAGAAGGTGAAAGAGAAGAGGAGGAGAAAGGGGAAAGAAGGTGATGTTGTAGTATCCAGTTTATATCACTTGAAACACCAAGATATTTTTCCCCAGAACCATTGCTTGTCACAAACGTCTGCTCTATGTAACTCTACATGGCTGCCATCACTGGTCTAGTGTGACGTATCATGTGAACCTATCACATGACTGTTTGAAAGACATTCGTGCTCCGAAACCAGTCGCAACCATCTACCCAACACAAACTTGTCCGGGACACTAGCGTTGTAACGCGGTTTTGCTAATTATAGCGCACGTGGTTTTTTTAGCACACAGTGACATGTTCACACTGGAGGCGTGCCTATACTTTCTCTTTGGGTCACTAACTACCAACCTATCGTGGGAGAAACACAGTCACGCTGCTGTACCGTATCCAATACCCCAAACGGGTTGCTAGGCGGCCGACCAATCAGAGTGGGAGTTTCAGTCGTATTAACATAGCTATCATATTTCCGGGGCTCCACCTACGCCGCGAACAAACAGCCTCTGCGATCATTCTATTCCGTGAAATTAGGAGGAACTCTTTCCACGTTCGGGGCAGTAAACACCCTCAATTAATGCTCATGTTTCACATCCATCGATAGAGTGAGAACGTCCATATTTAAAGGTTCTCGATTTCCAGTCCTGTCACGCTTTACTATATACAATTGGAGAGAAATTCCAGCTGCCACGTTGCCTTGGAAATGGCATCAGCCTGTACGAGGCCATTAGCGGAGTGGCGCCAGTGGATGATCACGGAACCAATGACTTGTATGACGGTCCACTCTACTGGATCGACCCGTCGTGCTATAGTGTGCATAATGAGGCGTGCCGTTTCCACCACAAGAGGAATTGTTGTCAATCAATTGCATCACAGTTTGTTTCCCACATCTAAGGACAACCCCCTGAAATGAGGACAACCTCTCTAATAAGGACACGTTTTCTTTCCCCAAGGACAGTTCTTGCATGCAATTTAACCCCTGAAATAAGGACATCTCTCTACCCTCCAATTGGAGTCCATATTTCATTAGATGGCACACTGCTTTGTGCGTATAAAGCCCATTGCTGCAATACTCTCATTCAGTACTCAAGCTTACCTCGGATGAGTGAGTTCTGTTCATGTGTTTGGCGCAGTCTGAGGCGTTTGAGAAGGCTTTCCCACAACCTTCATACTTGCAGAGATACGGACGTTCGCCAGTGTGCGAGCGGAGGTGAGTCTTAAGGTTTTCCAGTCTGGAGTATGCCTTGTCGCATCCGTCGTACTGAGAGATAGGAAGAGAGAGAAGAGAGAGAGAGGAAAGAGAGAGAGAGAGAGAGAGAGAAGAGGGAGGGGTGAAAGATCCATAATGATGCTGTCATCGGAACGCAAGTTATGGAGAAGTGTTGAAATTCACGTCTTGTTACGTCTAGTCAGGCACTGAATTTCGAAGCATATTTTAATTAGATTATGATCTCAGGCTAATCATTAGCGGCAACTACATACATGTAGTCCAATAAATCCGATCACCCTGGGGGCTTAATAATAATTAATCCCAGGTCACAAGGAGAATACTCACGGTGCATCTATGTGGCTTCTCTCCCGTGTGTCTTCTCATGTGAACCAGGAGCATGTACTGTGCTTTGAACGGCTTTTTGCCTCTCACGCAGCTGGCCCACTGGCAGACAAACTCCTTCTTGCTGTCCCTACACGGCAGTGAACATTAACACCATTAACTATCGTGGTGCATTTGTGTGTGTGTGTGTGTGCGTGCGTGTGTGTGTGTGTGTGTGTGTGTGTGGGTACAGTATGAGATTTGGGGGCTGTTTAGCTCAGGCAGATTTGGCGGAGAATCAAGCTCGTGCTCACTTTTCAAACGTGTGCTGGCAACAATACTAATGGTCTGGTTTATTCCTACAACTTTGCAATTTCTCTCATGTCTAGCGACGCGAGGATAGAGTAACGACACGATAAAGGTTTAATTCCAGAGACAGATACCTCTTCGTCAGAAAGCTCGGCTCAAATACTCCCCAATTTCACCCAATCCACCCGACCTAGCCGCGTGTCTGACTTACGTTCGCATTAATCCAACACAAATTAATCATCGTATCGTGTAGACCCGTCGCGTACTGTTTTGTACATCTCGCTATGCAAGGAGAGAGGGAGGATACTCCCAATGGGGTTAGTGTTGCTTCAGACATGCAGGCAGGTGGGAAGTGGGAGCATGGATAGGGAGCCCAACAGATGACTGCTGCGGCAATTTACCGCATGACTGACTGTTCGGTCCCTTTTGTAAGTCGAGAAAACACGCACAGCTATCATTGTTAAGTCACTTTCAAAATGAATTTTGAAGCGCTTGAGTCTTATAAGCTTCCTACGGTAGTATATAGCTGGTGTTATGGGCCGTACAATGTTCATTGCATTATCAGCACTTGCTGGTGAGCTGATGGGGAATAGCTCTGGCATGTTTGCGTGCCGAGGGTGAACGCAGCACAATAACAATCCAGTCATGGTTCAGAAGCAACATTCATTCTTGTGAGGGAGTGTGATTGCCGCCTATAGTATATAGCAGGAATTGACCCAGATTCATAGCATACTTGCACCTAAGGGTCTGAAATTCATCCTACACTCGTCCCCATGCTTGTAATACGAGGGAAATTGCTGGAGCAATTACCCGAGGTTTGTCAAACAGTCAAGTAATTTAAATTTCGTAACTTAAGCGGGTAATAGATATATATTCGCTCCTGCGAATGCTGCCTGTTGCTATTTGATGGTTGTTACTTGTCTCATTCCACGAGTGCCTTCATCAGACATACATGTTTGTTTCATGCTATGCACGAACAGTGGTTAAGGCATGCTCGGGATTATATATACCTGTATATGTGGTCTGCGTTGACGTGGCGGACCAGATCGTTCAAGTCCTGACATTGGGTTTCGCAGCCAGTCCATTGACAGACGTTATTGTGGGGCTCTTCAACCGAAGGATAGCTGTAGTAGACCTATATACACAACAAGAGAGAGAAAAGAGAGAAAGAGAGAAGGGAGAGAGATGTGTTAAACGACAAGACCATAAGGGGTTGTCTATAATACTACAGAGATACTCATCTGACATTTGAGTAAGCATAAGTTCAGCAACTGTGACCTACCCTGCGAGGTTTTCTGTCCAGTATTCCTTGTTTGGAGTCCTGGGACTCGCCTTCTCCGGTGTACCGCGAAGAGCAGTCGCTGTTCGAGGGGTCCGTCTGCATATCGTCGTCGGAGAAAATATCGTCTTCTTCGTGGAGTGTTTCCAGCTCTCGTGGTTGGGAGTTGAATCCACTCTCTTGACTGTTTGTGTTGAACTGGAGCATGGACTCATTTCTGGAGGCCTGGGAGGCGCCCGATTCGTCTAGAGGCTCCTGCTTGATTGAAAATCGACTGCCTCCAGATTCTCTGCTCTGCATGCGACGTTCGGGAGACGGTCCGGCTGTCGTTGTCAGCGGGAAAGATGCCGTCACGTTCAGTGGGGGAGGGTGAGCTCCGCTGCGAAGACTAAACAATGGTGCCTTGTGCGGAGAGGCAAAGAGAGAAGTGTTGATGTTTGTAGCGAGGGAGGGGCTGAGGTGACCAATGGAATTGGCCGAGTCTCCTCGAGACGAGGATATGCAGTTGATGAGCGAGCTTGGAGAGGACCTCATGAGACTGTTGAGCTCCAGTTGTGAGGTGCTGGAGAGAGGGGAGATGGAAATTGGTCGTTTGTGCCCCAGTTTTTGACCTGAGCCTGCAGTGAGGGGGCTGATGATACCTGAACCCAGCGGGGACGGGTATTCTAGCCCTTCCAGCATGAGTGCAGAGCTGGGGAGGTTGGTCAGCAGCTGAGATATTGAGTTGGGGGTGCTCGGGAAATCCGGCGACGCGAACGGCATTGAAAGGCCTCCGGACGGCGCTCCGACTCCACCGCTGCGAGAACGCACACCGTGGCCTCCCAGAACGGAGTCCTGCGACTTGCTCTCGCCCCTCGGTACGGCTGCAGCACGCATGCCGCTTACCTCCGCGGCCGCGGGAGAGCTGGACTCTCTCTTTCTCCGGTCGCCTGAGCCGCCATCGCTTCTCGTTCTGGCCGCGTCGGGCGACGATTCGTTCGGTGTCTCTGCAAAGTTGTCCATGACCCTAGCTAGCGGAAAGCCCCCGTTTGCATCTGTGAATCCTCCTCACTGGTTGTTCTGGGTGGGTTACCTGCAGCAAAATAAGTAGTTTGTACGAAGGATAGAATACACTGCCGACTTTAGTCAAAACAACACCGACTTACAAAAGGAAGGCGGGGCTGGCGGCGAAAGTGCTCCGTCGAAAAAGAAGTCCGTCTCGTTGCGAATCAGAAGGTTCTCGACGAAATCTCCGTTCGGAAACACGGTTGTGACTGCATTCCGTTGCAAGCACGGCACCCTTCATACACAGAACGGACTTACTCAGGCGGGGTAAACCTACGCACCGCCAAGCGTGCCGCGGAGAAAAATTCGTGAGGTAATTACCTACGATCGTAATTTGGCGCACACGGCGCTAAAAGGCCTACCGTATCCCTCTACGAGTTTCCCCATTTGTACGTAGAGTACAGTTGCGCATCGACACGCCCCCCCCCCTTCCGTGTAAATGATGTACCGCAACAAGCAGCCAAGCCACGCCACAGGACATCGCGAGACCGAGCCAAGTGGTTATCGGTGAGGCGGTTCACCCGTCGGAGCACAGTTGTGGATCGCACTCCGTGTCTGGACCGATCTGACGGGGGACGATGGCCCTCCGCGTTACATCCAACGGCCACGCCGTCACTTACCGAAAGGTTTGCGCGGTTCGCGCGCGCGTTTGTGTCGAAATACATTGTGTGTGTGTGTACAGCGCTGACTGTACTGTGTTCACAGTCATGTGTGCGGTGTTCGTCCGTCTCGCCCGGCCTAGCCTAGCGCCTAGAGTCTAGTCTCCCGCTGCTGTATACGGTTGTCTAATTGAGGGATAAACGTTTTTAAAATTTCTTTCCAACCACCAAAACACTCGACTCGCGTACGGCAGTGTGCGTAGCGTTTTCTTCGCTCTTTTCTCTTTACGGGCTTATTCGAGGGGGAGAAGACGACCAGAGACTCATGGGCTTGACCCTGACGCGACTGTGGTCCGTCTGGGTGGCGCGCGCCCGTCGCCGCCGACTACGGAGCCGCAGCTCCAGCCAGCGGAGCGTCGCCCGCAGTCACAGCGACGACAGCTCGAGCGGGCGGGGGTCCATCGCGGATGAGAGCATGTTCATTGACGCCAGCGACTCTCTCTGGTTGCAGCACACGCGAGAGATGCCTATCCTGGGCAGAGGATCCCCAGTAGCGTCCCTACCACAAGACTTACTACTCAGGTAAACAAAGCCGCAGTAGCGCATTATACTACCGTATTTACTGAATAGGGCTTTAGGGAGGGATTATAATCAGTTAGAGTGTGTATATTGTCAATGAAGGGAGGGCTTAGGTGTATTCTCTTTGCCTTGACAATGTTAGGAGTAGTCCAGAGATGTGAATGGAGGAGTGCATGACCAGTGATTGTGTGCACTGAGTACAGCCGTTTCTATGGTTACGGGCCTAAGTCCCCTGTTGACACAAGCAGTCGCCGTAGCGACCCTAGTTCTTGTTTGTGTCTCTGGACACCGATGGAGGCTGTAGTTAGACTAATAGAACATTGTGATGGTACAGCGGTTCTGTACATAATATCAATTGGAATTTAATAACAGGTCTCCTGTATGATTCACACGATAGCTGAATTTGAGTTCGGTTGTCGTGTCCGAGAGTTCCTTTCGCCCTCCCTCCCTCCCTCCCTAGAATATTCTCATTCCTGGATGTGGTGTCGCTAGGTAGAGCGGCCCAGGTCTCGCGACGCTGGCACGACCTGGCTCTTCACGGCTCAAACTGGCAGAGAGTTGATCTCTTTGAGTTTCAAATGGCAATCGAGGTTTGGACACATACAGTACTGAGAGACGATACTCTATCTCACATAGAGATAAATGTGGTTGCATACACAATGTATGTGACGTTCAGGTGATACAACTCACCGCTCGCTCTCTCTCTCCTCTCTCTCTCTCTCTCTCCTCTCTCTCTCTCTCTCTCCTCTCTCCTCTCTCTCTCTCTCTCTCTCGTCACCAGGGGTATGTGGTAGAACAGATGTCTAAAAGGTGTGGAGGCTTTCTGAGGACCCTTAGTTTGAGAGATTGTCAGACTGTGGGTGACCCCGCCCTCGAGTGAGCTCTTCACAACAACAACAACAACAACAACAACAAACAAACATTACAGTGGAACCCCTCTCTAAGGAAACCCCTGAAACGAGGACACCTCTCTAATAAGGACACCTTTTCCTTCTCCAAGAACAGTTCCATTAGGACACCCCACTAATATCTAAAACTCTTCTGTCCCATTGGTGCCCAGATTAGAGGGGTTCCCCCCTGCATACACTGAGAGGTGGAGGAAACACACCACAATAGGAAGTGATGCCCTTCTCTACTAAGAACCCTCTCCCTCTTTCTTCTCTCTTCTCTTTCTTCTCTCTTCTCTTCCTCTATTTCTTCTTCAATTCCTCTTCCCCTCTTCCCTCCTCCCTCTTATAATTATACACTCTCCAGAAAGTTCTGTCTGAACTGCCCTCACATGGAGAAGCTGATTCTCTCCAAGTGTGTCAGAATCACCGACCGCAGTTGTGAGAGTCTCAGTAAAAACTGTCTGAACTTGCTGCACCTCAACCTTTCCTCCTGTCGCTCAATCACAAACAAATCCTGCGAACACCTCGGGTCAGTTTCAACACTCTCACATTGGTCTTTGTTGGTTCGGTAATGGTCTTTGTTGGTTCGGTAAAGGTCTTTGTTGGTTCGGTAATGGTCTTTGTTGGTTCGGTAATGGTCTTTGTTGGTTCGGTAATGGTCTTTGTTGGTTCGGTAAAGGTCTTTGTTGGTTCGGTAATGGTCTTTGTTGGTTCGGTAATGGTCTTTGTTGGTTCGGTAAATGTCTTTGTTGGTTCGGTAATGGTCTTTGTTGGTTCGGTAATGGTCTTTGTTGGTTCGGTAAAGGTCTTTGTTGGTTCGGTAATGGTCTTTGTTGGTTTGGTAATGGTCTTTGTTGGTTCGGTAATGGTCTTTGTTGGTTCGGTAATTGTATTCGTTTTGTTCAGGAAATGTCGCTGTGTATTAAAAACTGCAGTGTGAGAGAAGTTTAACTTTTTCACTGTTTTTTTTCACTCTCTCGTATTCTTGCTGACTCTCCATTTCATCTCTCTTTCCCAGTGAGGGCTGCAACAGACTGGAACACATTGATCTCTCCTACTGCACCGTATCGCTGGAGGGAGTCGAACAACTAGTCAAAGGCTGTCCTGGACTCAGACACATCATACTCACCTACTGCAGAGAGGTCATGTGACTATCACGTGACCAGTCACATGATTTCATTACGTGATCTCCACGCACACACAGATCGATGATGCATCTCTCAAATTGATAGGGAAAAACTGCAAGAGACTCTTATCACTTGACATCAAAGGCTGCAAAGTGAGCCGTAGTCACAAAATTTTGACCATCTAAAATGTTAAGTTCTAAATTTTTTGGGTTTGCTCAGAGAGTGAGTGATCGGGGAGTACAAGCGTTGAGTGAGGATTGCTGTGAACTGGAGAGTCTGTCAGTCAGTAACTGTGACACTCTAACCGACGCCTCGCTGAAGAAGGTGGCCGCTCACTGCCATAGTCTAAGGTGAAGACTGAGGGTGCCTCGTGTACCTCACCGGAAATCCCCATCCTCTTTCTCTCTCATCTTCCTCTCTCTCATTGTCCATCTCTTCCCTTCGTCTCCATCCTCCTCCTCTTTCTCCTTCTCTTCCTCTCACATCTTGTCTTCCTTCCCTCGTCAATATCGCTCTATATATATATACCTCCTTCCATTCTTCCGTGGCCCAGAATTTTGGAAGCAACAAGTTGTTCACATTTCAGCGATGTCGGCTTCCAAGCTTTAGCAACTGTAAGTACCACATCACGTGACCATCATGTGACTGTCATGTGATTGTCCCCTCCCTCGTCTCTAGGGCTGCAACGACCTTCAGAGAATGGATCTAGAAGAATGCTCATTGGTATGTCTAACCTGACAAGACTTCTGCAGAATTGTATCGCTTCTTTTCAGATTACAGATCAGACGTTGTCGTCGTTGGCACTGAATTGTCCCAACCTCCAGAGCTTGGTATATTAATCTTCAACCTCGGGTTTTGCCACATTTCATCTTCTCTCTCTCCATCGCTCTCTTCAGGCCCTCTCTCACTGTGAACGGATCACTGACAATGGGATACGTCACCTGGTGGGCGGAGCTTGTTTCGAAACGCTGCAAGTCCTGGAGCTAGACAACTGTCCCCTTATTACTGACCACACCCTCGAGATGCTCAGGTGACCACACCCATACATCACCCGACAGTAATTAATCTCAGCATCATGCCAAAGTCGTATAAATGCCTTACACAGCACAAATGTTTGTATGTCTGCTAAAAACCACCAACTCTTTTCCACGTTGTTCTCTTCCAGAGGGTGTGTCACTCTGAGGAGGTTAGAAATCTTTGACTGTCAAATGGTCTCCAGAAATGGGATACACAGACTTGAGGTACATACACACATTTCCATTCCCATTCCACAAACTCCACTATTCCACAACCCATTCCCATTCCACACTCAGCTCCAATCCCGTTCCACAATTTCATTCCCACATTCCCATTCCACACTTGACTTCATTCCCCCATTCCAATTCCACACCTGACTCCATTCCCCAATTCCCATTCCTCCAGAGGTTGAGACCGGATATGAAGGTACACGCCTTCTTCCCGCCCCAAACTCCACCCCCTGCTGCATCCCAGCAAGCCAGAACCATCTGCAAATGTTGCACGTTACTATAGCAACAGCGATCATGTAATCGTCATGTTACGTTTTTTACACCACTTCTTCACTGCAGTGTCATCAGTCATTTAACTGCATGAATCATTCCACGGTTTGTATATCACGTGATTTTGATGTACACCTCTCAATTTTATATCACACATCAAAAATTTTAAGGTCTCCAGTCGAAATCACCATAATGGGTATTGACCCTACACACAAAACAGGCAGAGATTTTGCTGAGGTGCAAAAACTTGGCTCTAAACAGTATCGGCCACACCCCCTCCACGCACGTGACCCCAGAAAAGCAATGAGCCTGCAACGCAACGGCAAGAAAACAACCGCACCACGATTAATTCTCAGATTCATAACCATAATCTTTACCGTACACATATGATAACATTGGGTGTGCTATATATAGAGAGGAACACTGGGACAATCTATGCACAGTGTCCAGTTCCCATCTCATTCTCCCGGTGAGCGAATGTCGTCGATTTTGAGGATCATCTTCACCAGCTGCGTGGCCAGATTGATCTGCTGTTTCTTGGCCAGCAGAGTCTCTATCACGTGCTGCTCCTTCATGTCTGATAGTCGAGACAGTAAATAGAAAGAAAATTGTGGAGGAAGAAAACTTTATCCTTATTCTACTGTGGGTCAAAATTTCCCCATTTTCACATCTCCTACCCTTTCTCTCTCTCTCCCCCCTTCCTCTCTCTCTCTCCCCCCTCTTCTTCCTCTCTCTCTCTCTCTCCCCTCTTCTTCCTTCCATTATCACCATGCAATGTGAGAGAACATCAGTACACCATTATCCCACATAGTGACAAGGGACAGAGTCTTAGTTCAGCAATCTCTGGATTACACTGTCGCATGGCATCTGGCCACCAGTGGCACGTACATTTCAGCCACGGTGGAATCCTGTTCCATGCCAAACACTCTCAGCACTCTCACTCTCTCCGATATACCACTTCTGAATCAGATTTCCGAGGTGCATAATTTTCGCAGTATCCAGATTATTTTAGAACCTCAAAAGTACTATTGGGCATGCCTATCAATCAACATGCAAATACACACCTACTGCACATGCACCCAAATGACACTCCCCCTATTGCACTACTATGAAGTAACTGTGGAACTGCGGATCCATTAAATCTCGAAACTTTCATGGTTTTTCTGCAGCATTCTGTTCTCCTTGCCTCCCTCCCTCTCTTCTCCTCCCTCCCTCTCTTCTCTACCAGTGCTCCACTCACCATTAGTCCCTCTCTGCATGCAGTCAATGCCCAGTCTGGGGTTGTCCTGCACCAGCTGCTGGCTCTTCACGCTGGCCAGGGTCTGGATCGGACTCAGACCCGAGTTCTCCGCCAGCGCCAGTGGAATAGATTCCAGGGCATCGGAGAACGCCCGCATGGCATACTGCTCTATAGTAGATATCTGAAATTTTTTACACGGGCAGGGTACCACATAAACCATAAAAAATATAGTGGCCCGCAAAATTTTTCGACACAAATTATTTTTCATGGATGGGGTAAAATTTTTCTCACCTTATCTGCCTCTTTTGCAACTTCAAGTGCACAGGCGATCTCAGCGGCACCACCTCCGTAGACTATTCTGTTGTCCCTCACCAGGTTTCTTATGACGCAGAGTGCGTCGTGGAGACTTCGCTTGGCCTCCTCCACAATCTACAGCAATTGGACACCAATGGAATGGTAGTAAAGACTTTTACGCTCCTAAATTTTTACAGAAACATTCTACTTTTTTTTAAAGATGGCTCCGAAACATTCTACTTTAAAAGTTTATAGTTTAAAGCCCAACGGCTCATACTATTAACCCCGTAGCGACTGATATTCAAACCCACCACCCTGCTGATTAATTAACCCTCCAGCTGCTGATTTTCAAACTCACCATCTTGTTGCCTCCCCTGATGAAGATGGTGACGGCCTTCGAATTGGGACAGTCTTCGATCACCAACATCCTCTCCTTTGTCGTCCCGAAACTCAACTCCCTAACAACGCCCGCTGAGCCCAACTTCTCCGCCGTCAGCTCCGAGAACCGCGGGACAATCCGGCCCCCCGTTGCCAGGGCGATGAGTTCGATTTCGGGCCCACCCACCCAGCGAACGGCCGGGAGGTCGTTGGCCATGAGGAGATGATTTGCATCATCGTCAAAACCCCACTGGCATATTGCAAGGTTCGCTCCTGCGTCCTTAACCTATAACATCAAGTTTCAGCATAGCTTAGTAGTTAAAGGGTTTTAAAGTTTCAGCATAGCTCAGTAGTCAAAGGGGTTTAACCCTTTAGCCACTAGCTATCCTACAAACCTGTTTGACCATCTCCAGGAATTTATCCTTCTCGTATTGCCGGAGTTTTGCGTAATCCTCCACAGACGAGATGTGAAGACCGTACTTTGTCTTTGGTTTCGGCGGCTCAAACGGACATGTCAGAATAGCTATCTTGGCATCACGAATAGACTGCAGAGAATCATACACCGCTCTAGTCATGTGATGATCACATGACACCATGCAAACATCGCCATACATGAGGCAAGTTGCAGGGACAAGTTGCTATAAATAGAACAGCCCTCTCTACTTATGGCAACACGTAGTTAAAAGAGACAACAAACATACACCAGTTGCAGTTGCATAAGATTACGTAACTCTGTTGTTGGCACAAGTCGTCTCGTAATGATTGCCTAACATAACTGTGTGTATGTGTGAGCGGTGGTGTGCATGTATCTTGAATCCCCCTCTCATCCCAATTCTCTTTCTTATTCAGGTGAAAGAGTGAGTTGTTTGAAAGTCACGTGACCCGATGATCACATGACAGTCATGTGACACCTGTACCTTGGTCATCTGAGGGATGGCTCATGTCTTTGTCGATGACCACGCCCCTCACTAGAGTGGTGTCCTCCAGCTTCCCGCCAACTTTACCCTGGACTTTGATCAGCTCGAAATTGACGTCTTTTCGCTCAAAGTCGGCCACCAGGAGAATCCCGTCGACAGCTATTTCTGCCATCTTTCGCTGACACCTGTTGATACTGTGGAGGAGATAGAGGATGGGAGGGAGGGAGGGAGGGAGGGTAAGAATGAGAAAAAGGGGTGACTAGTGAAAGCCAATAATTACACTAAGAGCACACAGAGGAGATGATAGACCCACAAAGCAACGAGAGTCTACTTACATCTTTGATCCGAGTGAAGTCATGGCGGTCTCAATGAGAGGTTCTCTCTTCTCTGGATCCACTAGGAAACTCTCCCCGATCTGGTCGAGTCTCCCCAACGCCACTCCGGCCGCTATCTCATAGCCGTCCGCGATGCGGGTCGGGGTGGATTCCCTTGTCTAACAGCTGCTCTGCCTGCTCCAGCAGTGCCCCTGCCAACACTACGGGGGAATGGGCGGAAATTGTTTGTTCAGAATGAGGTTGCCCCTTTCGTCTTTCCCCCATCTCGCTCCCACCTTTATCATTTATAAGATCTCGCTCATACCTTATCTTGCTCCCGTGTTTCGTTTCCCCCTATCTCACCCCCCCGCCCCCCGCCCCCCGCATTACACCTTTCCCCCTACCCTCCCCAAACTTTTCTCTCTCCCAGCTTTCAAATCAAGAGCGATTTAAAATTTCGGCAAATTACCAACTACTCCGGTCGTTCCGTCGCCAATTTCATCGTCTTGCGATTTCGAGAGTTCCACCAGGAGTTTCGCAATCTGGTGCTCCACGTCCATCAGGCCCAGAATTGTGGCTCCGTCGTTTGTAATTGTGATGTCACCGTCTGGACTCTGCATCATCTTATCCATACCTGGGGAATGTGAGGGGAGAGAAACGAAAGAGGCAGAGAGAATGGGGGAGAAAGATTGGTGATGCTAGTCCTCGACTTGGCTAGTGTTGGGTGGGAACAAGCTCTATTCCTAGCCAAAAAGCATTTTCTCGGGAGCGAGGGGCAAGAGAACGGAGAGAGTGAAGAGGGGAGAAAGAGGAGAAAGAAAGGGCGAAAAAGATAACCTTTTGGTCCCAGGGAGGAGCGAAGAATCCCGGCCAACGTCCTAGCAGCGAGGATGTGAGACTGCAAACCAACACCACCATTAGTTCAAGGTCGGAAATTCTAGAAACTTCTGTGTACGTACAGGATATAGCTAGGTACACTTTATCTGACCTTGTGTGCTTGGATACCCTGCAGCCGTTTCTTCGAGCTCTGGTCTCTGATGATGATGAACGGCCGTCCGAACTCGTCGAACGCTACGGCCGCTGCCTGACTCATACTCTTTCTCCAGCTCCTTCAATCGAAAACGGCTGCAAAACGTCTTCTTTTACACGTGGCGGAGCACGTGATCGGAATTTGTTTCCGTACGCAATTAATTAGCACATGTACGCGCGGCGAGCGCGTATCGCCTGTGCAAAGTGGGATGGGCCGCACAATTTCCTCTCTGCGGGTTTCTGGTTTCCTCCGCATGCATAAATAAGCCGATGGTCGCTCGCTGCAGAGTTTCTCAGGAAGATAGAGAGCGGAGCGTTGCGTCCTGGCGAGAAACATGGCCGGAGAAGGCGGATCAGATTTGGCAGCGGTGAGTCCCCGCGCCTGCGTTACGGAGGGACTGTGTGTGTTTCGGAGAACGTCTCTGTAACACTAGATATTGTTCTAGATATTGCTCTATGTTTGCAATTGCCTCGTATGATCCGTAGCTCACACGGTCATGTGTGCAGCTCCAGTCACTGTGTGCGGGCGGCTAGGTTGAAGTATATACCTACCCCCATTGTGTCCAGCTCAGCTGAAAAACCGCGGTTTTCGCAGGTCCATTGTTACCCTAGTCCACGTTCTCTCGAATTCCCCCATGTGACTTACGATCTCTTACTCTCTACATACCTCTCTCTCTTTCTATTACACCTGGTGCTGAGTTTTATCCCGCATAATAATATGTAGGTTCGCTCTTGCACTTAGCTACAGCAGTAACCTACTGTGTTTACAATACTTCGTCATTATGATATCAGTCCACTGTCCACAACTTGACACACAGTTACTAATGACAAGGACTTGTCTGGGTACACGCCCCTACTTGCATTACCTCTCAATACCTACAGTTGTACCGCAATAAATGGCGATGTATGTAGACAATCGTCCTTGATGAGTGTATGAGGTATAAGGGGCTCTTGCCAGAGGTTTTGACTGCGTGCCGTTAGTGAGTGTGAGAATCAAGCAAACGGAGCTCGGGTTTATCCCAGGGAAGCGGGCCAGCTGTTGTTGCCAGGCAGGGGGGGGGGAAACCTAGCCGTGGAAACTACGCCAGACTGGGCGTGAGATTGTGAGTCATGAGAGGAAGCCAACTAGGTTGATTCCCTCGTGGGACACCGGCTTCTATATATCCCTTTGGTTTCCATCCCCCTTTCTTTCCAACTTTGGTTTCTGTGTGGTGGTTCAGTAGTGCCCTTTCCCCAAATAGTGTCTGCCCACCTTTAGGGTGTAGACACTACTCTGCTGGTTGTGTGTATATACACTTTCTGGTGCATGTCATCTTATGCTGTGTATTTTGAGTGGTTTTAGATAGTGCTGGATTGCCGCTGTACTTTATGTCATCAGCTGATCTGCTGGTATTATACCAGCTGGACATGTAAAACTTGTACAAAGACCCTTTATCTTATCTCTCTTTCCTCCTTATCCCCCCCCCCTCACACACACACACCCTCTCTGACAGCTAAAACAGGAGAATTCCCAGCTAAGGTCAGCCATTGCGGAACTGCAGAGTCGACTCAACCAATGCGAGAGCGACAAACTACAGCTACAGACAAGGTGTGTTCGACATAATATAATATTAATATATATATATATACACACTATTTCTTTCCCAATCAGCTATATACGTATGTATTACTCTGCACGATGCCCTTCTTGAGCCATACTCGCAGAAAATCATAGGAAATTATTTCCCCGTGATTATCATTTCGGAACTGAAAATGCTGGCAATTGGGAGTAAAAGGATTTTCCCATTACAAAAGGGACTAATCTATATAGTGTGCCTGGGATGAGTGTAATGGTCAGCAGTAAAGGGTATCTTCTGGTGTGTTTAATCAAGGCTTATTCATACGCAAGTTATAAAGCATAGCCGTAAATACTTGTATAGGTCTAGGTGGGATTTATTTTGCTACTCTGGATCCTATATATAGGTCTGGGTGTGCCAATAAGCAGCAGTTAGGGGATATATACCATGTTTTACTGACTGTCCATGCATGTCATGTTGTCTGCTTTTGCCTTGGTGACTTCGTTGCTGTGTACTAGCTACATAGCTCAGGACTACATTAACAGGTGGAAGTGGGTCCTAATTAGCAGGAGGATGTAATTGAGTTAACGGGATACCAAGAGGATGTTGACAGTCAACACCTTGAATCCTAGTACTCCTTTAATGTGGTTTACATAGGGTGGGACCCTTTGTAATTGGATTATATAGGCTCCATAAATGGCCTCCATGAAGACAATGTGTGTATACTTGTTTTTGCTCGTGTACTGGATTAGAGGAGAGTTCCACTGCATGTATATATGTACATATATAGAATTGTGGGCCTGTGTGATGGTGGGTGAGTAAAGAGTGGGTGATGTAGTCAGCATGCAGTAGCAAGTGGTGTGGGCTTCTAAGGCAGATGTGACAGTCTGTAATGTAGAGTAGTGAGTCACCTTGCTTTTGGCTCTCTTCCCACACTCTCCCACACTCTCTCTCACTCTCTCCTTCTTTCTCTCACCGCACAATACCAGAGTACATATATAGAATTGTGGGCCTGTGTGATGGTGGGTGAGTAAAGAGTGGGTGATGTAGTCAGCATGCAGTAGCAAGCAGTGTGGGCTTCTAAGGCAGATGTGACAGTCTGTAATGTAGAGTAGTGAGTCACATTTGCTTTTGGCTCTCTTCCTACACTCTCCCACACTCTCTCTCCTTCTTTCTCTCACCGCACACACACACACACACACACACACGGTGACATGTACACATGCACTCTCTCAAATGGACGTACATGGTATATATACTCCCTGATGTGCCTCCAAATACCGTTTACTTGGGGTTAAAACAACGTGCGCTTGAATGGGGGCTGACAAATTCAGTGGGTGTAAGTAAGATTCTCTCCTTTTGTCATCAACACTTGTGTTGTACGTGTTAGGAAACACGGGGCTTACAATCTACCCTCTTAAAGCATTTGAACCACTTTTGTTGGGGACACACGGCTATAATCAGCCCACCCGGCTATAGAAATCAAAGGGTTAAATGCATATTTGAGTTATTACGGTATTGTTACGCTCGTAGTATTTCAATTCCTATGTTTACCAACACAAGACTCTGTTTTTGGCCATCGCTAATGCTTTGGTATAACCTTACTTCCTAGATGGGTGAGATACCTAATCCCGTGTCCCGATACTTCCCTTTTATCAGGACGAGGTGTAATGCGTCCTGATTGCTATAGAATTGTCCTGAATTTCGTCACACACAAAATGCCACATTATGCATGCAATGCAAGGCATCCTAGCGAATGCAAGACAATGTGTAAAACCTCGTCAGGGAATACAAGATAACAATTGTTTTCATGTTGCGTCTACAAATTTCTACGAGCCCGCTAACACACAAACAACAAAACATACGACACAACGCGGACGCTTCGGCTGCCACAGAAATTCCTGGCATGCACATGCATGTAGGAAGACATTTGCTTCCCGGTACAATTCACATTCCGTGGTACAATTAACAATGCTCGTCTTGTGTTTTGCGGATTGTTGACGTGGGCAATGGTGCGTACGCTATATATAGCTGTGCGTATATTTAAACGTTTTATATTTAACGGTTTTATCTCTTGTTTTTTCTGTAAACAGTTACGAGCAAGCTCTGCAGGCACTGGCAGACAGTGAGGCAAGAAGAGAGACCTCAGACAAGGAGATGAAACTGGTGAGCTAACACACTATCACCTGGAACACCCGGAATCCTAATAGAGCCCTTTTCCTGTATGCACCACTGTGAGGGATACCTTACTTGCCTTTTGAAGACCTCTACTTGAACTGCTCAAGCATGACCCAGGTCCTGACTCACAAAGTGTGTGTGTGTGTGTCTGTGTGCGTGTGAAAGTGTTGTCAATAAGTAAAGAAGTTCCTTCTATATATATAGGCTTTTGGCTGAAATTAGTTTCCTTGTAACGACCTTTGAAGGGTGTATAGAGAGAAAGGGCGGGGAAGGGGTGAAGTATACGTGTGGGTGTATCGCTCAAATTAGGGTCGGTTTGGCGGGCTTTTGGCGGGTAAATGAGGGAGGAGGGTGGGTGGGGTTTAATGGCTTTCAACCATCTTGGCATCCATCCCTCTCCTCCCGGTTACCTCACTCCCACATTATAGCCCTTAATCACTAATGTTTGCACTGGCGCCCGACAACATGTCGTCGTTTATCATTCACGATGTTACCGTGGTAACTATCTATGTTACCGTGGCAACTATCTCTCCCGTGGATCAGGCACAGAATCAGATGAGCTCCATGTGGAAGCAGCTGGAATCACTTCACAAGACCATAGACGGCGGCTCCCAGGTAATCCTCAATTTTTTCGTGCATTTTTTCCCGAGATTGTGGTTTGTTTATCGTGTCCTCCATCTCTCGGCAACAGGCTCCGCCCACGGGGACGTCACTCATTAACGAGAGGTCTCTACAGCTGCACTGTACTCTCTGTCGTGAGAAAATACGGTATATAGCCATTTTTATCACACACTACACTGCAAGCCTAGCTGGAAATTCTGTGGGTCAAAGTGTATTAATTGCATGGTGTCCCAACAAAGCAGTGTGAAAACGCACGCAAGTCTGACGAAATGAGGTGCACATGATCTGTGTTGCTAACGACACAGAGCTCCGTACGTACGTGTACAGACGATGCTGGTCACATGAGCAACCGGTGACAGCTCTTGTATCACACACACACATATCTCCATAGGATGTGCCTACTACAACAGCACCACCCATGTATCTCCATAGAGATGTGCCTACTACAACAGCACCACACGTATCTCCATAGAAACGTGCCTACTACAACAGCACCACACGTATCTCCATAGAAACGTGCCTACTACAACAGTACTATAATATACGTACAGCCTCCATATTGTCAGCATGGCAGCTTTTTACACCGGTAATGACTTGAATATCAATCAGCCAGTGAAAGCAGGAAGCAGCTAGCTATTAACTTGCATACATTCACAAAGCATCTTTTTATCTCCCACTCTTCACACACACCCCTCCCCTCCCCTCTTAGTGGTGTCGATGGTTCATCAGCCTCTAACAACAAGAGTCCCCCAGTTAGCCCTGACTCCTCCCCCCAGCCCGTCGCTAGGCAACAACGCAAAGGCAGCTGGCTCTTTGGAAGACGACAAAGGTGATTGGTCGATTAGGAAGCTCATTAACTCGGGCTATGAATATGTTTAATGATGAGAACAAAAATGGTCATGACGTGTGCACCTCATTCCGCTTCCGCTCGACTAATTAGATTAAGACCGACCAATCAGATCGCAGAGTTTGAATTCAAAACCTGGCAACTGTCCAATCAAACGACTTGGCAGGTGGGGAAGTTGCCAACAGCGAACAATAGATTACCTCCAGCCATGCCAAATACCTTACAATGTGCGTTGTATTTTTTTGGTCTCACTTGTGTGGTTAGTGAAAAGCGACTTAGCCTTATCTTTTCCTACACACACCCACACACGCACATGCACGCACGGACCCAGGATGCAGGATCTGGAGGCCCATTCCAAGACCTGCTCCAGTCCCCAGTCCAGTCCAAGCAAGACTCCTCGCTCCAGGAAACTCATTGCTCCCAGGTTTGACTGAGATCCAAACTTCATTTACACCGTCCGCATTCCATTCCTGCCCACCTCTCCCTCAGTCCTGGTTCTGGTACCAGCCCCTCCCACAGGGAGCGTGGAATGGGGACAGACTTCCTGATAATCAGCGTCACCAGAAGCCCTCCTGGTGCAACCGACCTTTCACCTTTCAAGATCATCACCAAAGTACGTTGTTTTCTAGAGAAGTAGTTTAGTTTACTGGCTGACGTTGGGTGGAGGGCTAAGCAGAATAGTGGTGGTCATGTGACCTTTAGCCAATCAGATCCTTCCATTTTGTCACATGCACGCCGTTTTAAATCCGTGCAATTGCGTAACAGTTTATACTTCCACAAGCTGGTTAAGAGAGTTGTGTACGCGATCATGCTTGGAGGGGTCTGTTAGTTACCAGTTGGCAGATGCACGTTGGATGTACTGACTGAGACTGGTTGATTTGTATATAGCTCCAACCACTGCACAGTGTGGCCAGCCAGGGACCAGCCAGAAGGTCCAGGTGTGTCGCGTTGGATATCGGATTTCTGCGTGAAAGAACGTAGTGTTTTTGCCAGGTCCACTCCCTTTGAGGTGGCCACTCGTGCATTCTTTTCGTAGTCCTCCTGCCAGTATACTGTATCTACAGTGGTGGTGAGGTCAGGTGCATGTATAGAGTAGTTTGTAGCGATGCTGTTTGTGATTTTGGCAAGTCTTTTCGAGCGACAGGCACTGTCGTCTGCAAACACGGGCCCTGAAAAGCAATTCCGTTTTCACAGCCCTAGCTCTTGTTCACCCCCCACCACCTCTCTTTCTACTACTTCCGTCCCTTTCTCTTCCACCTGTCTCTTCTCTCACCCTTCTCTCTATCACACTCACCCTATCCCCTCCCTCTCTGTCCACAGACAAATCTCTCCCAATTTCCGGCGATGTCGTTCGATGTGAACCGCTCACAAATGGATTTCCAGTGGCTCTACGATGTCCTACAGGACGCCTGTCCAGAGAGGATCGTCCCGCCGCTCAAACCCCCCATTTCTCTCGACGCCACAATCTCAGAGTTTCAACGCTTCCTCTCTCGCATTTCCACTCACAAGGTACGCAATGGAACCTCTGACTAAATGACACCTCTCTATAAAGGACACTTGGTTCTGCCCCATACTAATACGTATATAATACTACCTCCAAATAAGGGACACCTCTGAGTATAGATAAAGAGGTCATTACTAATTACGTAATGGTGATGTCGTTAGTAAATGACGACGATTCTTCTCGTTTTGCAGGTCCTGCGGAGTCATCACTTGTTTGTCGTGTTCCTCTGCGGAAAATCAGAGGTGAGAGGGTTAAAGTGGCACATTTGGCACGTTGGTAAATTGACGCGAACCGCAACCTCAATTAACTGAATATTAATTAGTGGTGAAATTAATCAAGTCTCACACAAAATGGCTTATACCATGATAGGGAAAAACGGTCACATTGTTTTGGCAAGTTCAAAAGCTGTCACAATAAGATCAAAGAAATAGCTGTTGCACAAAATTTACACAGCCCGATTGACTTTATTTAGGAGCTGAAGAGTGTGAAAGCGAAGTACCGTCCGTCTCGGTCAGGGGACCAGGTCCAGTACAAGCCTGCCGTTGGTAGAGACACAAACAGTGGTCCCTTGGTGGCCACGAAGGAGTACCTCACCACCCTGGAGCAGAACCTCCTGGGGCTGGCCAACCACCTCGAGCAGTCAGTGAGGAGGAAGACACACTCCGAGAGAACGGCTCACTGGTTCAGGTAATATATTAGCTTCTTCTCTTGAAGAGAGGGGGAAAAGCGAATTCAAGCATTATATATAAGAGATAGCTACTTTTCTTCTTCCTAACCTAATGTTTGCTTTTAGGAGTAAGATTACTTGAGGTTTGAGAGCTTGTAGGAGGAGGAACAATTTCTTTTGTCTGTCAGAATACTTTTGTCCCCCCCTCACTCATACACACACAGAGCAATCAGTGAGAGTGAACCGGGAGACACGTACCTCAAGACGGCGTCCTCTGACCTCGCCAGGACCTGCGACACCATGGAAACGAGTCACGGCGACTCTGAAGACACACTCCTCGTACACAACCTCCAGAGCATTGCCGACTACGTCCGAGCCTGTCTGGTATGTCAATATCTAGTAGAGCCCCTCCTCTAATGACACTCCTGAAATGAGGGCACCTGATTTGTGAACACGTGACTTTCTGTTT